GAGGGGCACATTTGTGTCCTAGGGTTGCCATGATAAAGTACTACTGAGTGGTTTAAGACAACAAAAATGTATTGTTTTATGGTCTGGAGGCTGGAAGTCCAAAATCAAGGTGTAGACAGGACCATAGTCTCTCTGAAGGTCCTGGGGGATATCTGCTCTAGGCCTTTTGCTCCAGGTTTCTTCTGTTGCCAATGGTCTTGGACACCCTCTGGTTTGCAGATGCATCGCTCCAATAATTCTCAATTATTCTCTTTCTCTCATGCTGGGGATGGACTCCAGGACTTTCTGCATCCATCCTAGGCAAGCGCTCTGCCCTGAGCTACATCCCAGCCCACTCCTCCATTTTATTTACTTATTCATTTTTTGCAGTACTGGTGCTTGAACTCAGGGCTTCACCTTGAGCCACTTCATCAACCCTATTTTTTGTGATTTTTTTTTTTTTTGAGATAGGGTCTCACGAACAATTTGCCCTGGCTGGTTTGGAACTGCAATCCTCCTGATCTCTATCTGCTGAGTAGCTAGGATTACAGGCATGGGCCACCGGCACCTGGCCTACTCCTCCATTTTTATTTGGCTGTGTTCTCCTATGTGTTGGTCTCTTCCTCATTTCCTGTAAGAACACCAGCCATATTGGATTAAGAGCCCTCCTAGTTAAGAGAGCTCATTTTATTTAATCCAGTAGCAATAGCCCTAGTTTCAGATATTTGCACATTCAGAAGTACTAGAGATTAGCACTGAGACATCTTTTTGGAGACAGTTCAATTCATAAGAGCGTCTTGGGCTAACATCTCTGAGTTTCTGTTTTCTTAAATTTATTGCAAAATTTAAATGAAACACAAAAGAATTATTCCCTATGCTATTTGGCTGTAGTTTTTTCTCAATTCTAGGGACTGAACCCATGGCATCACGCATGTTAGGCCATCACACTGGCACTTGAGCCATGTCCCCAGTACTTTTTTAGTATTTTGTTTTTGAGATAGGGTCTCCCTAATTGGCCTGGACTGGCATTGAACTCAAGATCCTCCTGCCTCCATCTGCTGAGTAATTGGGATTATAGGCACTTGGCTTAGTGATTCTCATATATAAAATTTTTAGTAAGTTTTTTTTCTTTTTCCCAGTGGTCTCCAAATGTCCCTTACACCTTCCTTTTTTTGGGTTCTAGTTCTGATTTAGGATTATGCATTGCATTTTATTGTCACGCCTCTTTAGTCTCCTTTGACTTAAGACAGTTGTTCTCAAACTGTCATGTTAGTATAAGAATCTCCTGGAGAGCTTGTTAAAACAATTTCCCAGACTGGGTGTATAGCCTTACAGGTAGAGTGCACTCAGTGTGTGCAAGGCCCTGCGTTCCATTCCCAGCCCTGAAAAAAAATCCTAGCATTATCTCCAGAGTTTTAACTTACTAGGTAGGAGTCTATGAATTGGCATTTCTCCTCACTATCTCTCTCTGGAGACATGGTCTTGCTTTGTAGTTCAGGAAGTCCTGTACTCATGACACTCCTGCCTCTGCTTCCCGAGTGCAGCGGGGATTAAGGTCATGCAACACCATGTCCAGTCGCACTGGTATTTCTAACAAGCTGGCAGGTTTAAAGACTGCCTTTTTGAGAACAAGTCTACTTAGAAGAGAGATTGGCAAGCTTTGTTTTGCACAGGGCCATGTTATGTGGTAAACTGTGCCATGGTCTCTATGGTGGTTACTCAGCTCTTGTCATAGGCAAAAGCAGCCTTGGACAATTCATAAGTAAATGGGTGTGGCTATATTCCAGTAAAAATTTATTTATAAAACAGTTGCTGGCCTGTTACACTCACAGGCTATCGCATGCTACCTGATCTAGAAGAGTGCCTCCACTTTTTTGGGTTGGAACAGTGTTTTTCAGAGCACTGACATTTTGAACTTATCCAGTTCAGTGTTCTTCAAGAATGCTTTACCATCTGGAGTTGATTGTTTTATTCCAATTAGATGTAAGTTAAACTTCTCAGAAAGACTACTACATAAGTTGTAGTGTGTATGGTAGGGAAAATTGTGAAAGACTCTGTAGTAGACTGAAAATATTGATTAGGGCTGGGGATGTAGTTCAGTGGTAGAGCACTTGCCTAGCATACACAAAGCCTTGGGTTCCACCCCCAGCACTGCTCAGTGGAAAAAAGACTCATTTTGCATGTTCGACCGAGTCGCGATTAAATATTATCCCTTGGCAGTATTTCTCATTGTGCCACTTGAATAAGCCAAAAATGCCAGTTTTTACAAATATTGGTGATGCTAATTTTGCATCAGTTTATTAAGGTGGCTGTGCCAGACTGGCTCACGTGGCACTGTATTTCCCTTTGTTAGAAATGTGTTAGGCCCTTTTCCCTTGCTGTAACAAAATAGTCAAGAAAACAACTTAAGGGAGAAAGGATTTATTTTTTGGCTCATGGTTTCAGAGGCTTCAGTCCATGGATCCTTGACCTTTTTGCTGTGGACTGTTGGGGATAGGGTCAGAAAGAGTGTCATGGAGAGGGCATATCTCATGGCATCCAGGAAGGAGAGATTGCTTGCTTGAAGGGACCAAGGACAAGGCATAATTTCCAAGGACATGCCCAGTACCCTACTTCCTCCAACGAGGCTCATTCCCTAGTGTCCACCACCTCCCAGCAAGGCCATTAGATCATGAATCCATGAACAGATTACTCCATTGATTACATCAGGGAGAGCCCTTATGATCCAATCACTTCTCAGTAGTGCTACCAGCTGGGGACCAAGCCTGAGCCTTTGGGGGGACACTTCATATTCAACCATAATAAGGGAAATATACTTTGGGGGTGATACTTTAAGACGTTAACATTCTGGTTCAAAATAATTTTCACCTGATGGTTTTCAGTGATGACCGTTGACTGTATCAATTATAACACTGGAGTTGCAAAACATGAACTGTTTCTTATTTTGAGGTTCTAGCAGAGGAGCACAACTACTGCTACACCCTTGTACCAAGAATGGCCTTCTTCTATTGAGGGAGTCTGTTCTATTCCACCTAGCAGGTAGCTCTGGAAGAGATACATATGGAGCAGTAAGAGAAGAAGGGGATACCTGACTAGCCAGCCACATCAGCTGTATCAACCTTGATAAGCAACGGAGTGACAGATGTCATGGCCAGATCTTCCTTACCCCTTACATCCATGATCCCTTCCCCACACCTTTTTTTTTTTGAGGTTCTGGGGATTGAACTCAGAGCCTCATGTTTGCTAGGCAAGTGCTCTAACAATTGAGCCATGCCCCTGGCCTGTTTTGTTTTAAGTTATTTTTCTAATACAGTCTGGCTGGCCTGGACCTCAATCCTACTATTTATGCCTTCCATGTAGCTGGGATGACAGGCACACACCATTGCTCTGGGCCCATGAACCTTTCCTTGGTGGCCACAGATGACATCTGGAGAGCACTATGGCTATACATACAGCATACACAGTGTAGTAAATCACCTAAAGACAGGGTCTGGGACTGTCTGTATTGGGCTTCACCCTGGTTTATTCACTTACTAGCTGTGTGATTACCTAGCAGCTTAACTTCTCCATGTCTAAGTTGCCATAACTGATTTTTTTTTGGCAGTACTGGGGTTTGAACTCAGGACCTTGCGCTTCTAGGCAAGTGCTCTGCCACTTGAGTCACACCTCCAGCCCAAGGTTCCTTAGCTGTAAGATAGGTGAGCTAAAGATACCTCCTAAAGGGTTGTGTTAGGATCAAATGAGCTAAATGAAATTGTCCAGAGGATACTTAGTACACGATTACCTGTTCAACATCTGTCAGGTATTATGGTTCGTGATTATTTGTGTTTGAAATGCAGCTTTGCCACATCTCAGAGTGTCTTTGGATAAGTTACTTAACATCTGTGTCCCCGTTTATCCATAACAAGGTTCCCACCTCAAAGATTTTGAAGATTCATGCTTAAGTGCACAGCACAGTGTCAGGTATGGAATAAGCACTAAAAAGATCAGCTGTTATGACGGTTATTCTGTGTCTCTTTTGTAATGCCAGGACTGAACATAGTAGGCAAGTGCTCTCCCACTGAGCTACACTCTAGACTTGTATCTTTTGCCAGGCCTGTACCTTTCTTTCTTTTTTTGGTGCTGGGGATGCAACCTGGAGCCCTGCACGTGCTAGGCAAGTGCTCTGCCTGAGCTATACCCCCAGCTTTATCTTTATTTGCTTCAAAGTCAGAAAGCTTTGAGTTGGTACTTTCAGATTTATCTTTTGACTTTTACTAGCTCACAGCTAAGCACTTAATATGACCTCAGATTTCTGAATATAAGAATTAGCTTAGTTAGGCATGGTGGCACCCACACGCAATACCAGCACTTGGGAGGCAGAAGCAGGAGGATGGTGAGTTCCAGGCCAGCCTGGGCTACAGACAGAGCCCCTGTCTCGGACAAAAAAATAAAGCTTTGAGTGGCACTTGCTAGATAGTTCTACTTCTGCCTACTTGACGTCGGCGTTGCTGATTCGTGGCGCCTTTCTCGCCTGCAAGAAGCCTACGCTTGGGAAATCACATCCCCGCAGAAGATTGTGCAAGGCCCTCTTGGGCAAAGACTGCAAACCCCGGCGCAGGGCTCTAGGAAAACTGCTCTTACCCCTCCTGCAATCGCAGGAACACCGCTGAGGAAAGGCATTTTCCGCCGGGAGCCTTTCCACCTATGCTCATTTTGTCCTCCCTGGGAACGGGTGCTGTAACTTGGCCAGAGCCCACGCCACGACCCAGACAGGCGCGGCGGAAAGGGAAACTGAGGCCGGGGCCCCGCAGGCCCTACGGTGCGCAGCGGCACAGGGAACCCCGGCCTCCGCAGACACCTGGCGCCCGCATCAAGCCCAGCCGCTTCCTGTCCCGGGCGCGCGGCGTTCACGTGACCCCGCTCTGGGCGGAGTCCGGGCGGGCCTGGATCACCTGAACAAGGGAGTCACGTGAGCGGGGGGCGGGGCGGGGGCGGTGCCGAGTGCCGGTCACGTGACGCGGTTCCGGGGCCGCCGCCGCCGCCGCCGCTGCCGAGCCCAGCAGAGCTGCGCTCCCCTCCGGTTCTCCCTCCGACTCCCGCTCCGGCTCCAGCTCCGGCTCTACCTCCGCCCTGGCGGTGCGACCCCGTCCCGGGCGAGGCCCCGAGCAGCCGCACACCGTCAGCCCCGTGCCCGCCGCGCAGCCCGGGCCCGGCGTGATGGGGGCCGCCGCCAACCGGAGCGCCCACCTGGGGCCCGCGCCCGCCGGCCGCCCGTCGCGCGCCCTGCTCCTGCTCCTTCTGCAGCTGCTGCTGCTCGTCGCGGCCCCGGGGACCGCGCAGGCCCAGTCCGCGGAGTTCCCGGAGCTGTGCAGGTGGGTGGCCCTCCGGGGCGCAGGCTTATCTCGCGGTGCCCGCGGGCGCGCGGCCAGGAGCGCTCGGGGAGGGACCTGGCCCTCGAGTCCACGCTGGGTTCCCCCCCCTCCATCTCCCAGGGAAAGTTGTCTGCGTGGTGGCCACAGAGAGAGCAGAGGGTCCTGGGCGCGCGGGAGGATGCAGTGTCCTGGCGCTGGCCCGCAGAGCCCTCCCCGTGCCTGGCCACTTGTGGCTGTCACTAAGTCGGGCTGCTTTGTGTGCGAGCGCCCGCCGCCCGACCCGTCTGGGTGACACACTGCGGCCAGCCGCAGCCCAGCGCCTGCCCTCGCGGCCGTGCGTCTGGGAAGTTGGAGGAGGCAGGACCACAGCGTGGCTTTTGTTCCACTGCAGGTTTTCATGAGAGTTCCACCAGCGGGGCTTCGCGGGGCCCCTGGGTGTGGAAGGGCTCACCAGTGAGTCGGAGCCCGCGCGAATGGCCTTGGAGTTGGGCGGTGGTGGTTTCGCCTGCTGACTGATTGCCTCCATGTGGGTTGCCATTGTTTTCCCTTTAAAGTGGCTTTTGGGCAGTAGGTGACTTTTTTCTTTTTGATTGGGGTGTTGGGGTGTCATCCTCTATTGGTTTTGAAGACCTTACCCTTCACTTCTCCCAGTCAGTTTCCTGTCTGGTTGCTCACATGATGTCATTGCCTCCGGGGTGGATTATTCTAGTCGAGTCTTCTGCCCTGGGAAACACGGTTGTGTAATCACTCGTCCCAAAGAGGTGTGTTGGGGCTTGACTAGGAGTCGCGGGGCTCCAGGAACTTCCAAGTTCAGGAGCTCGCTGACTGACCTCTGGACTATTGAGGAGGATGTGAAGACAGGATAGAAAGTTCTGAGCAGTCAAGTTCACCCCTCTTGGCACTGGCAAGTGATTTTTTTAGACTGAAGTAGCCAAGGTTGAGGCTACTTTGAGCTGAACTTCAAGTTTGTGGTAGGGGTTGTGAGGATTCTTATTTTTCCCTTGTGTCAGAGATAGTTTTATTAGCACCTGGAGTTCAGAACTTGCAGAAATTATTCTCCAGAAACTGCAGCTGACCCGAATAGAAACCCTTTGGAACGGCCCATATTCTCGACTTCCCCTGTTTTGAAGGGGAACTGTGGCTGGAGGGAGAGTTTGCTGCCTAGTAACAGGGCAAAGATACATTGTTGCTCCGTTAACTTCATGAGGTGGAGGACCAGGGACAACTTAAACAAGGTCAGGCCGAGACTGATATTTTAGAAGGAAGTTTTGGAATAAAGGCAGCTGAGACCAAGAACATCCATCCATTAGGACTGAGCTCAGCTGGGCTAGTGGTGTGGAAATCTTGGTCTTGTAGCTAATTTGAATTCGATTATTAATAGTTAAGGTTACCATTGGCAAGGCACCCTGCTACTGGCTTATTTAGGGCCCTCACTTGTGTACTGGGCAGTCACTATAGCCTCTTGAACCCGTGTTCATTCACCTCATCTCCAGGTGGAATACGGCCCTTGTCCAGTGGGAATGGCCTTTGTATGTACATATGCTGGCCACTGTCACATGTGGGCATAACTTTTTAGGCAGTGCTGCAGAAGGTTCTTAGGTTGAGCTACACTGTTAGTGTGAGATACACCCCCTGTAGTCTTAAAAATATGTCTAAAGTTGTTGCGTTAACTTTTTCTGCCCTCAGGGTACCAAACACACTTCCTCTCCCACCCCATCCCTTCAGAGGTGGGTTTCACACACCTTTTTCCCTCCTTGTGACTGCACATGGAGATTTGCCAGAGCCTGTAAACTGAGTACTTGCACAGTGAAGTGTTCTTAGCTGTTCCTGTTTTGCTTTGTTTCATTTTGGCAGTGCTGGGATCATAAAGGGTCTCAGCCCATGCCAGGCTTGTCACTGAGTCCTGGCCCTTGTGTACTGATATGAGGTAAAACTGGCTCAAAGGTCCTTCACTCTAGCCCACACTAGAGGACTGGGATGTGATCAGATCTTTTTAGATGCAGTGTTGGAAGTTCCACCAAGGAAGCGGAAGCTATGTTACCCTGCCCGTTTCTTCTGTTCCTCTGCTCCATTTGCCGAGATGGAAGCATTCACTGGAGCCTCCATGAGCAGGGAAAGTGGACGCCTACAGCTCTTACTGTTTGCCTTTGCTTTTTCCACTCTGTCACATGGAGGCAGGCAGTTCTTACATACAGAAAGATGACATTTCAATTTTTCTTTTCTTTTTTTGTGGTAGGAAGGTTTGAACTCAGGGCACCATGCTTGCTAGGCAGGTGCTGTTAACCACTTGAGCCACTCCTCCAGCCTATTTTTGTCTTGGGTATTTTCAAGGTAGGGTTTGCAAACTATTTGTCCCGGGGTTGGCTTTGAACATCTATCATCCTGATCTCTGCCTTCTGAGTAGCTGGGCATGAGTCACCAGTGCCTGGCTCAATTATTATTATTTTTTGCTTTTATTTATTTATTTATTGTCAGTACTGGGGATTATCAATTCTTTTTTTTTTTTAAATGCAGACCTGGGTTTCACTCCTGGCTCTATCACTTGAGCCACACCCCAACCCCACATTCCACATGTTTGGAAACTGGTTGGTTGAATGGTGGAATACTTTTTTCCTTTAAAAACGGTCTTGGTGTGGTTTGGCACTCAGGGCAGCACTGGAACCTCCTATTCTGCAAAGGTGAAGGGATATCCAGAGCCACTGGGCTCTCTCTTGAGAGTCTAGGCAGTTGGTTCTTTTTGCCCTCACCAGGTAGAGTTGGATTTCCGGGAAAATCATCTCTTATGTCCAGCAGTCTAGAACCTAGAGAAGCTGTTTTTCATCTGCAGTCCTGCAGGACCCAGGATAGGGAGTTGGCCTGCTTTTGGGGGGTCGGGTACATGTGGGGACCTTGTGTTGGTAAAAGCTTTGAGGTGAACTTGGGCTCTGAACACTTCTGGGATAGGGGTGCAGTTAGTTTTTGGGAGGGCTGAAGGAAGCAGAGGGACTATTATGGCCGCAGCTTTTGGGACATCCATGCACACGTGTGGCTTCTTCTTGAGACAGCCATTGGACAGGCACCACAGAGGCAAATTCCCTAAGTACAACTAGCTGGAAGCAGCACTTTAAATGAGCGCTTGTTCCTAGGAGAGACTGGATGATACATTTCTTAAGTGTCTAAAGGGGCCCTGTGGCTGTGGAAGGAGTTAGTGATTCTTACCCAGCTATTCTTAGGGGGTGACATGCTAGGACAAAGCTGGTAGAAGGAACTTGTTTCCCATAGTCAGTATGACTGGCTGCAGGACCAGTCTGGGCCAGAGTTCATGGGGCAGGAATGAGTGTCTGAAGGTCAGTGTGGCAGAGCCAGTGAGACCAAGAAGAGAGAGACCCAGGGGGAGAGGAGGCAGAGGCCAGGCCATGCCAAACCACCAAAAGTGACCTGCAGTGCTCTTGGCTAGTCAGTGGCTTAACTTACCACTTTGTGTCTTAAGCTCCACAAAACGCCATGTTGTGTAGCGTGCAAGTTCCCCAGCCACCATCCCCAATGGGTAGAGTCTTAACAGTTTGTAGTGATACAGTGCCTTGGCTGGGCTTCATTTAAATGGTTTAACTGCTTTAAGATTTATACAAGACATGTTTCCCCCAAATTGTTTGGGTGTAAATGCTGGACAGTTCTTATTTTTTATTCTTTTGGACAGTTTTTATTATTGAGGATAGGAGAATAATAAAACCAGCTGGGAGTTGAGGTCAGTTTAGCTGCTATCTCTAAGGACATTGTTTGGTTTTTTTTTTCTCTTTCTTTCAATTTTTTCAAAGGAGCAATGCTTTTGTGCCTAATTTGGGCCACATGTTAGCCTGGATCATATCCATTTGTGGGAATGCGTTTCTTTTAACCATAAGTGTGCATGGAAGCTGAAAATTGTTAATTATGGTTACATTAGGTCTCATGCTTTAATTTTTAGAACAGTATCCCAACAAATTCTCAGGAAATAAATGCCTAATTGGGCTTCACATCCTTTTTCAATGTTTCATAGAGAGGATTTTTTTTCCCTCCCAGTGTTGGTGATGGAATCCAGAGTCTTGTGCATGCTAGATAAATGCTCTGCCATTGAGAGAAGGGCTTTTGGATCATGGGACAGAGAAAAATAATCGAGGCGCTCTCTTCTCTATTTTGATCTTAGCATAGAGCTGCATTGTAGCGTCAGAGAGAATTTGTCTTATGGAGCTAGGTCTAGTTGCCAAGAGTACAACCATCACTGTGGGATTGTCTCAGCTGCAGAGATCTCTGCTGTGCCCTGGCTGGTTATGGATAGTGAGTGAAGAAGTGAGAGTAGCTGCTTGACTTTCTGGGATCCACTCGGCATTCCCAGCATCAATGGATGGGAGTTCCAGTTCTTCCTCATCCTTGGCAACACTTGGTGTTGCCTGTCTTCATTCTAGCCATTCTCTCGGGTTTGTAAAGGTGTCCCAGTGGTGCTTCACTGTTCAAATGCCTAGTGGCTCACATTGAAGTGGATCTTTTCTTGTAATTACTGTTTTGCCTAATGGTTTTGAATGTCTTTTAAAAAGAATCTTTTACTGATTTTAAAATATCATATAAAGTTAATACAGAAAATACTGATTGGGTCATTTAACTATATTTTTAAAATAAACTGAAAGGTAACACAAAACTACATACTTTGTTTCTCTTTACATAATCTGAAATCACTCACCGTTTTATTTTGAAAGCCCAATGTTGAAGCCTTTAAAAGGTATTTAAGGGTTTGGTCAAGTGAATATAAAATGTATTTGTGTAAAGAGAAAATGAAATTGTAGCCACTGGTATGTACTGACATTGGTTACAACTGAATTTTAATTCTTAGAACAATTTTGATTAGCAAACCTAATCAAAGCTAAATGTTTTAAAGAGGTAGATTTTTACAAGGATATAAGTTACTGTTCTATAGAAATATCCTATTAAATATTGTATGCCCCTCTCTCTGTACACTTTATAAAAAAGTAAAATACATATAAAGAAAATTA